GCTTCGAGGCAGTAAATCTTGTTTCTTCACTCGAGGTGACCCCTACACATGTCATCATTTACCCAGAATGCTTTGTGTGTAAATAAAATGGCTCCATCCGTGTTAAAATAGATTTTTAAAAATTTACAAAACTAAACAGCCTACAGTATTTTTACAGTTTTTAATTTACAGTTAAAATATGTTTATCAAATAAAGTCTAATGTTACAACTAATCAGGGATCCATTTAAATCAGTCTAGTGGGAGAGATTTGCTCTCCGTAAAAATCTGTTCCAAATTGTGTCAAAAGTACAGACTTCAGGCTATACGTCAACTTTTAAATTGTGTGGATTGACCAAGTAAAACTAGAGTTTTGATAAATTACAGACCCTTTTTTAAAATATTTGTCATATTTGACTGACTGGAGAAATCTCCAGCTAACGGGTATTTAAAACCCCTCCTCAGAGCCAACAGAATCAGTGACTTCATGCTTTTGTTTGAGTGAAAGGAGGATCAGCCTGTCAACAAACTTAATGTTGATGCTGTAGCATCTTCACGGTGTTTGTTGCACTTTATTTATTTTGAACATACAACATCCAAGTGACAAGACTGTCTCTGCAGCTCACCTGAGGAATTTAGGACCCCCTAAGACCGGATGACTCCCTCTGCTAACACACCAAATTTCAGCTCAGTATCTATACAACTAGTTGTTTTAGATATTTTTGTGTTAGCTAAGATTTAAAAGCTGTGGCGGCCATTTTTAATGAGGTTGACTTCTACAGCTAGTTATACATTTAGTGATTACTTTCTGAGAGTTTCATCATAGGAAATGAGATATTTTGCTAAAATACACAGACTATTTCTAATAATAAGTATTTAACTGATCGTTATAAACTGCTGCTTTCATCAACTTTATTGCAGACTTGGTTGTTTGGACTGAATATTTGAATTAAATGATTCATCATTTCGTTTTCTGAAGTCCTTTAATAAATTGTACATTTACGACTGACGTATTAACGTATCTTCTGATTCTCTTCAGACTAATCTGGAGTGTTTTTGTTGTTTTCCTGCTCGACAGAAACGCGACAGTCCCGACACGGCCTCGTCGTTCACGCTCGTTTCCAGCGAGCTGCAGCGCAAAGACAAATTCATGAGAGTTTTGTTCTCCTGCAACGTGCGAAAGGTAATGAAAAGAAAACCTTTCTCTTCTGCCTACATTAACCTGCAGCAGGTGTGGGGAAATAAAGACAGGGCTGCTAGACAGCCCCGCCTCCCTGCAGGGTGTGTGCGCTCTCTCCTGCTGCCTCCTGGGATGACTAACGAGGAGCTTTGTGTTTCCCAGATCAACCGTTTCCACAAGGCAGAGAACCGAGCCGTGCTCATCACCGACCGCCACCTGTATAAGATGGACCCCCTGAAGCAGTTCAAAGCCATGAAGAGCACCCCCCTCTACAACGTAGGACACCCCCGCCTCTTTTTACTGCCTCTCTTAAACCAAGCATCGTTAACAAAACCCTCATTAAGCGCAGCGTTAAGAGTGTTATAGAGCAAAGGTTTCAAACTGGGAGCTTGTTTAACTCGTGAAGATCTTCTAGATGAAAATCTGAAGCTAAAATCAGAAAATTAGTAGCTAAAACCTAAAAAGTAGCTAGTTGATTTTAGCCTCCCTCAGTTTGTCCTGCAGGAGAGTTATGGCTGAGGTGCCACTGGTGTCTTTGATCTCCCAGCAACCCTTATTTTTTATTATTTTTTTTTTTTTACTAAGTGGCACCAAATGTCACTCAGCTCTGCGGTTGGTTGGTTTTAATTCCCGTCCACGCTGTGATAGGCCTGGTAATGCTGCTACATGCACACAGCACAGGAGGCTGTTTCCATGGCAAATCTGGCTGGTTGGCTTCAGGCTGCTTGTTTTTTATGTTTTATTTGTTTATTTGTTCATTTATGGTTTACTTACAGCAGTCACAATCCAGGACATTTGTTGTCACTCGTTTTGTTTTTTCCTTTTTTTTTCAATTCTGCAGTGATGTTGTTCCCTCTGAAAAACTGCAMCTGATGTTTTTATTTCTTTACCATCACTTTAATTCAGACAAGTGAAGAGTTCCTTTGTTTGGTTTCATTCACATCTCTGACAGGCAGTGTTGTATAAAGTACCACAAAGTGATACTTGAGTAAAAGTACAAGTCTCTTACCAAAAAATTACTTTGGTGAAAGTTAAAGTCTCCTTTAGGAATATTACTTGAGAAAAAATCTTAAAAGTATCTGTTATTTTTTGTATTTAAATATTGAAAGTATTGATTTAAAATGAGCAGTTAGATTTTCTGTAATGACATTTATTAGGAGGTGAGCTCCCCAAAAA